ACTGATATGTCTCTATATGAAGTATTAAATTTGTTTCCCCGCTGACCACTCATATTTCGCTCTTTTCTTCATCCCCCACTCGTCGCCCGTGATGTAGTAACTCTAGCAGCTCGGCGGTTTTTCAATATGGCGGAATCCACTTCAAATGAATACCGCCCTCCTTCGGGCCACGATGAAGACTTTGTGGAAGCAGTTGACAAAGATTTTCAATGCCTCATATGTCATTTACCGCTAAAGGAACCAGTTCAAACGAGATGTGGCCACAGATATTGCAAAGAATGTCTTGACGAGCATATTAAAAGGTTTGAGTTCATGTAAACATCGATAAGCACTATTCAATTGTGATCTTCATTGGCTTAATCTTCTTAAAACTTTTTCTGTGAGTTCGTAGCGAATTTTTTTAAGAGAAGAGTGCAAGTCTATTTAGTAGAAGGAAATTAATCGGTTTACTGAAGATTTACTGAAGATTTACTGAAGATTTACTGAATGATGCAATTTCAATGCACTTGATTCTTTCGGTCAGTTCGTGACTTCCATAATTACTTAGCTTAAGTAGCACGATTCCTTTCTGTCATTTAAAACGCTTCTACACAATGATAACACTGTATTTCACAACTCAACCATTTTATTTACCCTGAGGTCGCGTAAGAAATCTCTTGAACATAACGTCACTTTCAATGGCATGCAATACGTGCAAACAAGATAAAATATTAAAAAATAAAAATAACTAAAATATCAATTTTCAGGCGCGACACTTGCGCTTGTTGTTTTTAAATTCAAGTTATATTTACATAACTTGTGATTTTCCGCTTTTCTTTACACGACCCCACAAGCTTGTAGCTTAAAATATTATCGTGCGTAAATAAAGGTCATCTTTCTTAATCTATCTTAGCGAGATACCGATCAGGCTGTTTCTCAAAAAGTTAGTTATTTTGGAATAGAAAGCAGAAGCCAATAATTTTATCACCCATTGCAAGAGTAATCGTTTTCATTTCATAATCATTCAAGTTGATGCTATGTCCTTTTCTGAAGCATTCGCTTTTACAGATCTGTAATCACCCAAAATAGATAAATCAAAATAATATTGCCGTAAATGCAAAAAATAACAAAGAAGAAAGATCTACCAATCAAGGAAATATTCTTGCCGTAAAAACTTTCTTACAGGCAACAAAGTCAAGGACAATCCTTAACATGTCCATTCGACAGGCAGAACCTGGATAAAGACCGGGTAAATAACTATTTTAGCTGTATAAGTGTATTTCCTCTGACCTGACTTAAGTAAGTGTTACCAGAAGCGATTGAAAGAAAAACTGAAGTGACTAGAATTTGGTGATGACATTTCTCGCGGCTGGGAACGAAAATTGACAGCTGAATGATTTGCCACAGGCCGAGTTTGGCAGATACGATGGCTGAGAATTTTTGTGAATTTTGTCACGCGCATTGTTTATTTTTGCATCTTTTCATTTTGAGCTATCACCCACGGACTTTACGACTTTTATCCGCGGATTGTGGATCCTTTTTATTTTTCATTCATCAATAAAGTCGACCTTTCTGGTCAATAAAGGGCTATTCTATTCATAGATCTTTAGGTAATAAACAACATATCACGTTTTTTTTCTTGGGGCCGGAAATCCCTGTATAACACCGTAGTTTATATGACAATTTCTATTTCTATTGATCTCTTTTTCGAATATCATATATTTTCTTTAGGCACTCATATTTGTAGTCCCTTATCAGTAGAAAAACAATTTACTCATTCAATTACAAACAATAATATTCTATATATTATTTTTCTAAGACATTTTCCCTGATAAAGCAACAGAAAGGAAGATTCTTTCGCTGGCAATCAGATGTCCAAACGTTGGCTGCAAATGGACTGGGGAAGTAAGACTTAAGGAGGTAATGAAACTTTCATCTTTTTCCGTCTCCCTCTCTCTTAAGTTATAATAGAGGTTTGGACGCTCATGGGGTCAGTTTTACACTGTTATGTAACAGAGCAAATGACTGGAAACTGCGATCCAAACAGAAGTTTTCTATACTGTTTTCAGTTGTGGAATAGATCCACTTGGGATCTTGTCTCTTTCAACTGGTAGCGTGTACCAGAGACAAATGTGAAGCGAAATTCCAGATAGGCCTTCTACAATCACACGCACAGAGGTGTCCATGGAGAATCAGGCGATGTAAACACTGTGAAGAGCGATGGCCAGAGTGTCAAATGCAGGTGGGTGGTAACTTATTTTGTACACCATGCATCACACCCATAGCCACGGAACTAAAAGACATTTCAATCAGTTACTTTATCAAAAGAGAACATCCCCAAAAAACTGACGTAGAGGGCTACGTCTCCGCATACTTACCACACGCGGCCTCGGACCAAATACGCATTTAACTGACAAAATGTATTCCTTAGAGGCCTGAGTCCCAACAGAAAAGTTAAAAGAAAAACCCAAAGAATGACGAAGAACTGCGTTTAAACATTCCTCGCTATCTTTCTTGGATTATTCTTTGTAGAACCATTTCAAGCAGTGCAGCAAGTTTCCGGCGACTTGTCCAAATAGCTGTGGTCTTTCTTTTCCCAGAGATACGATGAGACTTTAAATTCTCTCTGAAGTGCCTAGCGATTCTTAAAACGTTAACGATACTAATCTTCAATACATCCCTCTGTTCCTCCACTTTCTTTCAATTAAAAAGACTTTTTGACACGGCATTTAAATAAAAAATAGCACTGCTGAAGATGAATAACGCATGCTGAAAGATTTGTTGAATAAATAACTACACCGATTGCTTCATCTACATTTCCTGACAAGATTGAGCCAGGATCCAGGATTAATGGTTGTCATATGTGAGGATAATTTGGGTAACCAAAAGCCAGTGTACATCTTCTTCATACACGTCTTCATTTCCGGCCGCTTCCCAGTCTTATTTCTCTGAGCTGGTAAGAAGGCGGCGCATTTATAATTAAAAGCATAGATACCTGACACATTGAAATTTAAAACATATCCTTAGTTATAGGAGAATTGGAGATTTCTCTCCATTACAACGTGTGTTTATTAACCTTTTTTGATGTGATCCAGGTTTCAACTCACACTAAGAACGAGTGTCGGCTTACTATGATTTCCTGCCCATACGTACAGATGGGCTGTCAAGCAAAGGTAAGTCCACTTACAGTGATCGGGTCTCTCCAATGGTGATAAGGCCGCTCGGTTGTCAAAGTATTTATTACTTTCGAGACCTATATTTTTTCTTAACGTTGGAGCCCTACTAAGCTAAACTACAAAGGATTACGTGAAAATTCACCGTCAATTAACGAAAAAAACAGCTAGAGATAAGGTCGGGAACTGAATGGTCGGACATGGTACAAATTGGCAGATAACGTAGCGGCTGTAGTTCATCTCCGTGTTTTACACTCTGATAAGACACACTCTTTCAACCAATCAAAGCCCGCAGTTCGAAAGTCACTATTTAATAAGACATTTAAAATAATTTAGATAGCGTGTCAGTCGAAGGCTCATAAAATTGTTTACGACCCTGAAGGTTTAACTTTCTTGTAGGTTCAGCGGCAAGGAGCAGAATCTCATCTTGAATTAGCCACAAGACTCCACCTTGATTTAGTTTGTATCAAACTAAATAACACAAAAGTATTATTAGATAAGACAAGGGATGAGTTAAAAAATGCCATGGAACTGCTTAAGTCATCAAGCGTACAACATACAAACGCGTTTCTTTGGAGGATCGACGGTTTCAGTGAAATTTTGAAACAAGCAAAGAACGAGGGAAAAGAGAGAATATACAGTGATCCATTCTACACCAAAACTGAAACAGATGGGTTTGGGTACAAATTAAGAGTATTCATTTACCCTAATGGAATTGGAAATGGCAAGAATACTCACATGTCGGTATTCATTACTATAATGAAAGGTGAATATGACGCGATATTACCTTGGCATTTCAATAAGAAAGTGAAGCTCACGTTGATTGATCAAGACGATGATCCAGAAGAAAGAGAAAACGAAACTAAGGAGGTAGAAGGGCGGAATATTCCGAGCTTTAGCAGGCCTACAACAGAAGAGAACACAGGCATAGGTTTTGATTGTTTCGTATCTCATGAGAAACTTAAATCGCAGCACTATATTGTGGATGACACTTTGTTTCTACAGGTTGAAATTAGGTCGCCACCTTATTAATTCCGTATCTATCGCTCTGACGAAGGGCTAACGCTCGAAACGTCAGCTTTTTTTCTCTTTCCGGTAGCCAATTTACGTTTTCAACTCAGTTATTAACACTAAATTACCTGCCATACTCTCCCACCGACGCAGCACAACAGTTTCTTTAAAAACTTACCCCTTTTATAATTGATTCCGTACCCTAGCCTTGAAGGCAAGAAAAATCACTGAGTTAGATTCTCAATTTGACTTTGATGAAAAGCTTGCCCACACCTGCCTAGCAGTGAAGAATATATAAGCATGCTCTTTAGAATTTACCTAGGAGAAGAGTCAGAATCGGAGAGAGGGATAGTGATCGAACGGAGTTAGAGTCAGGCAACCAGAGTTACACAGAGTGAAGTGAATTTGATGTAAGATTCTCTTTGAGAACCAAGAGATTAAAGAAGACTCCTGAAAATGACAGCTCAGTAGTCCGTGGTACCTGTCGTAAAAACATATTGCAGTCTGCAGCTAGTTTCCCTGTCATTGCGACCCAACACTAATAAACTTTTACGTCGGCTGAGGTCTTTCACAACACCATAAAGGCTTGACTGGACATTCGAACAGGAACAGGCGAAGTTGTGAAAAATTTGAAATTTTCAGGCAAGGTGGGAAAAATATCGGGGGCCACGGTTTTGGCTAAAATCTCTCAAAACAATGCAAAATTCCTGAGAAATGGCTATGCTTGACTGAGACGCATTAAATTCTACGAAACATGTGACAAAAAGATGGCCCTCGTGCGATAGCTTCCTTCAACCCGTCTGAGCAAGAAAAGACCATGCTCGAACTCATCAGAAAATGCGCGACCTCAGAGTCCTTCTTTTGATCTCTACGTCAAAATTTAAGTGGAGAGATGTCATCATAGGGGAAAATAAGAATTTTTTTCGTGCTAGGGCAAATTTTCCCCAGTATGTGTAGATTTTTACTTCCCGTGAACATTCTCTTTTGTTCCCCGCTCTTTTTGCGATTTTGAAGCTGAAGTAAAACGACAAATCTCGGCAAATCTAAAAGTAATCTAAAATGTTTCGTAGAGTTCAACAAACTGATTGATATAGACCAATAAGCGTGAAGACGCGGACAATGCTTATCTAGAATAATGTCGTCATTATGCAAAATTAGTCTTGATGTCCACGTGTCTCTCACAAAATCCTGGCTGATTGCGTTTGACTGGCATTTTGAATCAATGGTCACACTTTTTAATATTTCATCACAACTAAATTAAAATAGCACGGGCAGCTGCTCGATACGGCGGAATTCACATTAAATGTCTACTGTCCTCCTTTGTGGAAGCAATTGACGCTTAAGGAGCCATTTCAGATCAGAAGAGATGTGGCCACAGATGGTGCAAAGAATGCCTTAACAAGCATATCAGAAGGTATGAGTAAATAACAAAAACTAGTTAATATGGATCTTCATTGGCTCGTTTAATCTATTATGTTATATTTATCAGTGAAACTCCTTCTGTAACTTCGCAGCGAATTTCTCCATTAGAGTTACGTGAGCAGAGTGGAGGTCTTCTTACTAAGGAGAAAAGCATCGGTTTTACGTTCGTAAAAATTAGTTGTAGCGGTGATGGCTACCATAATAATTTACAGAATAATTCAATATCTTGACTTCGCGGTCGGGACTTTAAGCGCGATGCTCGACGAGTTCGCTTTAAATTTACGAAAGGTATCTGATGATTCTCTTAGCCGAGACGAAACGCCGCGTCACGCGGCATTATAGCAGCCACGAATTTTTCACAAGTATTTGGCAATTTTTTCATCGTAGATATTGTAGCTCGTGAACACGTGGTTGGCAATCCTTTAGCGATAGGGCGCCAGATTGCTAATACTGGACTTCGCGAACGGGACTTTGAGCGCGATGCTCGACGATTTCGCCCTAAATTTACCAAAGGTATCTGATGAGCCTCTTAGCTGAGACGAAACACCGCGTCATACCAGCCAATTTTTTTTGCAAGAATTTGACAATTTTTCACCGTAAATAATGCAATCGCGTTTTTATTGACGTTGCACTCGATTAGTTTAAATCTGTTCGTAAAATATGTCCTTCGCTTCCGCAATTACTTTGCACGATGTATCTTCATAAGTGTTTACCAATGTGATCGTCTTAAGAATTATCTTCCTTAAAGATTTCATTGGCAATTTCCGGAGTCAAATTATTTGATTGCGTATTATGATAGTGATCGCCCTCATTTTAAAGTCACTGAAATTGAAACTCGAGTAAATATCGTCTCCTCTGTTAAATCCGTTTTCAAAGATCTAACCCAAAAATTAATATACTTGCAGTATATGCAAAAACCTTCAAACAAGGAAGATCTTTCACAAAGGGAAAACAATGGGTCATTATTTTTCTTTTGTTTAATCCAATGGGATATTCTTGCCAATTAAATTATCTTACGGGCAGTGAAATAATTTCAGTCCTTTAACAAAAAAAGAAAAACTTTCCAACTGATTTGCTTGTTTTGGTTTCTTTTTCTTTTGCTTTTCATGCTTTAATGGTTCTCTCTCTCTTAAAGGACTTAAGGAGTTCATAATTAAACCAAAGATGAATATTGAATATAATTTAAGCATTCCTGACTGTGTTTCATGGATTCTTATACGTAAGGCCACATTAAACAGTGCAACAAGTTTGTAGTAACTTGTACAAACAACTGTGGTCGTTTACTCCGGACCCTGAGCAATTACTGCAAAAGGTGGATTTCAGCATGGCGGAATTCACATCAAATGAACACTGCTCTCCCTCTGGCCACGGCGAGGACTTTGTGGAAGAAGTTGAAGAAGGATTCCAATGTCCCATATGTCATTCACCGCTAAAGGAACCAGTTTTTACGAGATGTGGCCACAGATATTGCAAAGAATGTCTTGACGAGCACATTGGAAGGTACAAGTTTATGACAAGCAGCTTTCAGTATTGTTGCTCGTTTGCTCACTTAATCTATATAATCACCCTAGACAGGAGGCAATTACCCGGAGCCTCAAGACCAATTGTACCCTTGAGTCAACCCTGTCCCCTATCTTTTTATTTTTAGAACTGAGATATGTGGGGGGCTCCCTAATTTCCCGCGAAAACACGCTGACGTTCGCATAATTGAAATTCTTTCGTGCGGCCTGCATGAGACGTAAACAATAGAGGACCACAGCTCTCTGATGGTTGACTACTATGCAAACAACCGCGAAAAACCCCATGGGGTGCTTCTAAAAATAAAAAGATGCGGGACAGGATTGACTCAGAGGGTAAGTATGGAAGATGGAAGCCTCGGGTAATGGGCTCCTGCCCTAAAGAATTCATAACAGGTCATAATTGTGTTTCAACTGAATTCAATCACTACCAAGGTCGAAGTCCATCCAATTAATCTAATTAGAGAATGGTGGTCGGTTGCATGATCTTAAACATCAATTTCAGTGATAATAAACACTTCAGTAATTAACTTTGTGATGCAATTTTTCAATTTCTAGCATTGCATTCGATTAGTTTCGATCAAAATACGCGCCCATCTTCCTCTAAAATGTAGCATGATATATTTTCTTCATTAACAAAGGTATGAACGGGTTTCATACTCACTCGTCCAAAGAGCAAAACGTCTTAGAATCGAAAGCGGAAATCGATTGCACAATTATCTACTGCAAGCGTGATTGCTGTTCAAAGTTCAAATCCTTGTTCCACATTCATTACTTTGTGCTTATAAGTGTTGCGATACTACTAGACCGATCGCGCTAGTTTTAGTTTCAGTCCACAAATTAATTACTCGGCCACTTAATTACATGAATATTAGACTTGTCTTGTGTACCTTGTAAATTATATCAATGCAATGGAATATACTCGCTCGGAAAAAAACCTAACAACGGTTTGACACACTGTTTGTAGCTACGGGCCAAATATGTTTCTTAAGACAAAAAAAAATGATTGAGTACCTTGGTTTCTGTGTTCGATGTTGTACCTTCTGGATGCTGCTGTGGAAGTTGATTTAGTAACTGTTGTTATCAATGTTGTTAAGTGGCGTCGACTGTATTGAATTAGACAAAGGTGTTGGTTGAGATAGGGCATGAGAATAATTGCAGCACATATTTGCTTGTTTCCTTGCCTCCTTACTTATTTCTTTACCATTCTTAACAAGTTAATTTTCTAACAGACAGCAGAGTAAAGAGGAGTCGTTAACCTGCACGGCAGACAGGTAGAATCTGGACCCAGACCGGATAAGTAAACTTTTTAAAAATTTTAGGATGATTTGCCGGGCTGAGTGCAGGTAAAGAGCAAAGCAATTATTCAGCATTATTTTTATTACTTATTAGTCTTGACCATTCTCAATGGTCTGACTTGTTAGAGTTTTCCTCAAACACACGTTTTATTTTTTAATTAAATATTTTGAACGACGTTCTCTTTTCTTCAGTATATTTTTTTCCTGATCTTGATATACACCTTACCTATTTGCATTTTTCTTAAAATAATACAACACTTCCTCGTAAGGTGTTTTCTTAATACAATACAACACTTTCTACTAAAGGCTCTCATAAAAAGAAAACAACTGTCACCTCAGAAATTGACCCATCTGGATCTTGGTGACGTAGGAATAATATTACTGTGATTATTTCTAGGGACATTTTCCCTGATAAAGCAACAGAAAGGAGGATTCTCTCTCTGGCGATCAGATGT